TTCCAAGAGTTATTGTATTTTGCACATTTGGCATCCCTTGTTAAGTTTTGATAAAGAATGTCGAATGAAACCTGCAGTAAAAAGTCGATGTCACTGTAATTTCAAAGTTCTCATCATCTGAAGACAACCTGACTCTAAAACTGTTAGAAAAGAAAAGAAACTAACTGTTCCAAGGAAGCAAAAATTAGTGTAAATTAAGGATATAAATGCAATGAATTAAAGCAGTAAACATCAGTGTCATTGTCATTTTATATGCACTACAAAGTGTGCGCTTCAAGAAGTGAAATTTAGGGGAAATAAACACTCGCCCAAGAGATTAAGCGACGGTCTAATGTTAGACCGAATTCAAGTCATTAAACTGAAGTCAGTAAAATAAAGAATAATGCAGTATTTTAAAGAATTTAAAAGCTTGAACAAAACACCGTCCCATTCCCGAGATTTCCATCTGTTATTACTCAAATACTATTAGTCAGCCCACATAATCACTTCTGTCTATGAAGTATGAAGGGAAGGATACAAAAGCGGAAGTACTGGTGATAGAATGTTTCGAATTGGTCCCTTGCATGCAAACGTACTGTCTAATTATATATTCACTTCATTGAAAACTGCACTTGTTTCTTTTTTTAATGCAAGGACATAACATACTGTGTCCTCTGCATCGTCCACAAATGCATCAAGTTCAAATTTGTAAATTTAGAATGCCATTATAAGAATAAAAATAATTTGATATAGTTCAAGAGTAAAATCAGAATAAAATACATCTTTTCGTATTAATGTGTAAATAAGAACAAAACTGAAAACGTTCGTAACTTAATAATTAATAAAGCATATATGCTGACAAATCTATTTGAAAATTCGGTTAACAAGACAATATCTAATAATAATAATAATAAAACGCCAAAATAAGAATGTGCCTATGAAAGTTCAACCTGAGGAAGAAATTGATACAGGAGACGGCGGTAATAAATGTCAGCGATATTTACAGCAGGTTCTAATTGAGGTAGTAACTCATCTGAGAAGTCATTGCGAAGTTGTCGCACTACATCATGAACTGGCAGAAGTTAGAATTCATGGACCATTGGATCGGCTCCCATTGGCTCAATGGTCTACGAGCTCGCTTTGTAACCAGAAGGTCATAGGTTCGGACCCCGGTGGGTGCGTAGTGATGAAGAGTTCCAAACCAGTCTGACGAGACAGCTGTCCAGTACTCCCAGGTTTTCCCAATATTTATTAAAAGGATGTCAGCTCACGATGAAATCCTCCAACCAATCAAACAAAATCCCTTCAAAACCAATACTTGAAAATATTTAAATAAAGCATAAACAGTAGTTTGCGTGGAGTAAGATGAGGCGATCAATTTTTTGTATGATAAGTAGGCATTGTTTTTTACTAAGCCTTTGAGGGAGATGAACGGTAGTTGAGTTTAGTCTCAGTTTAAGGTTAGCAGAGTTTCATTAAAAGGTTTTTCAGGTAACGTTGACTTAGATTAGTGAGAAAATGGCTTTGCACCAAGATGAGACAAAATTCGCTAAGTCTACTAACACACTCAGGATATTCCCCGAATTTTCAACCAATTCCTGCATGCATCACTTAACAGTTATTCTGTTTTTCTTCTGAGACGGAATCCAACACATTATGTCATGATCATATCTTTTATTGTTAACCTTTTGTTCAGGTGACTTCCATTTTATGTTTGGACAAATTTCATATATGCCATTGTGTCAGCAGATTGCATATTCAAGTTGGTTACAGTTGTCGTATTTTATATTTCAAATGATCTGATATCATCTTATTTTCTGTTGAGTATTTTGGTAGACGTAGTTTTGAGTAAAATGACACTGTTAAGTTTTGGGCTACGTCAATTCTGAAAGATTTCACCAGTCTGGTATTGATTTAAGTAACGGATTTCGAAATACTTCATCTTCGGCGATAATTCTGGTATGCTATTCACACTTTCATTTAGGTGGTGACACATTTCGGTTTTTTGTTGTGCACCGAACGTTATTAAGTGGATACGAGCGTGAGCGCAGTTTTGTTTGTAAGAAATTTACACCAAGCAGCAGCATGACGCGTGTCCTATATCTACTGATTATCGAAATATAAATAGAAACTTCATCAAATTTCAGTTGAATGCTTTTAGTTTTAGATAGTAAGACAAATTGTGACGATCGTCCGAGTCACAGTAGACCATACCAGTCTTTTGTCTTTTAGTCAGCCACTACCAACTGCAGTGCTTAGCTGTCAGAAAGACGATTGCTGATATTATGTAACCCTATGCTACTATTTTCTTCACAGCAGATTCTTTGGTGGTCTTATTGCTGCATTACTGTAGATAATTTGTTTGTGGAGAAGTGTATGAAAATGAGTCTATCTACATGTCTCTTTTTCAAGTATATTTGAACAGAAAGACCACCGAAACCCTACCCATATTGTGGAATCGTTATCTTGAATAGCTACTCACAATTTTTGCTTCGTAACAGAATAACCTGTAAAGTCAAATTCATAATTACATGAGAAGAAATCAAATGAGATGGATTTAAATCATAGAGTATAACTGCATTATGGATAAGATTGTATTTTGATAAATCACACAGTGCTATACAGTAATATTAAATGATGACCTTTCGAGCACAAACTATTGCTCATAATCATATCATCAGTTAATATTACTGTATAACACTGTGTGATTTATCAAAATAAATTCTTAGCCATGATGGAGTTATACTTTACCACAGTGCCCAAGTTGTATACTTATATTAAACCATAAAGATTTAAAGGCACGCGGTATATACAGCGAATGATGAACAGGTGACAATATGTTTTACTGACGAGTTTGTGAAGATTATAATTTATGTACCAAAAGCGTGATTTTCAACCAACCGAATGAGACGGACTGTGAATACAGTAAACAACTGGCCAAGCTTAAATTAAACCCATGGGATAATCAAAACTAATAACACCACCAACCAAGGAAATATCAGCATGTATGAATGATGAGTCCCAAATTCGTATTCAGTGTCAATGAAGTCAGCTCAGCCTTCCGAAGAACTATTCATTCGAATAGGAAGTTAAAGAGAAGTGAACAATATACTCTTAGTATAAGAATAATCTAACTTTG